AAGAATGGGCTTTTAGTTGTCTTTGTGGCTGTATATGTGGATGATGTAATTGTAACAGGAACTCATCAAGAGGAAATTGATTCTCTGAAAAATTTTCTGCACAATACCTTCAAAATAAAAGATCTAGGGAGGCTGCATTACTTTCTGGGAATGGAAGTACTTTATAAAGAAGATGGAGTGTTGATATCTCAAAGGAAGTTCACTATGGACTTACTGAAGGACTTTGAATGCACTGAATATTCCAACTTGTCATCCCCCCTTGACCCTTCAATGAAGCTGAGGGCAGATGAGAGTCCCTTGCTAGTTGACCCTTCAAATTACAGAAAACTGGTTGGTAAGTTGAATTTCTTGACTAATACAAGACTGGATATATCCTTCAGTGTCCAACACCTCATTCAGTACATGCAATCACCAAGGGAAAGTCATTTGAAGGCTGCTTATCATGTCTTAAGATATCTGAAGAGTGATCCAAGCCTGGGAATTTTCTTCTCTAACAACAGAGATTATGGGGTGAAAGCTTATTGTGACTCAGATTGGGCAGCATGCCCTGAGACCAGAAAATCAGTCAGTGGTTACATTGTGTTGCTTGGGAATAGTCCCATCAGTTGGAAATCAAAGAAACAGTCCACTATTTCTTTGTCTTCAGCTGAAGCAGAGTATAGAGCAGCTAGACAGGTTGTGGGTGAGCTAGTTTGGCTGGTAACACTACTGGAGGAGCTGACTGTACCTATGAACCTTCCTGTCCCTGTATTCTGTGATAGCCAAGCAGCATTGCAATTTGCCAAGAATCCACTGTTTCATGAGCGCACGAAGCACATAGAGTTGATTGCCATTTTGTTAGAACAAAGCTGCAGGAGGGACTGGTATCTCTACATCATGTTCCTACAAATGAGCAACTGGCTGATATATTCACAAAGTCTTTAACTGGGATCAAGCATTCCCATTTACTTAGCAAGTTGGCAGTGGAGTCCTCCCCGTACCAACGTTGAGGGGGGGGTGTTGAGTATTGTTAGTTAATTAGTTAACTAGTCCATTTCTTACATTGTATTTATTACTATCTTTTCTTTAAGTTGGTTAA